CGCCCTGGCCACAGCGGTCTCAACCCCAGACTAGCAGAGCAAGGCTCAGGGTCGGACAAGCCTCCGGCTCCCGAGGGAGGTCAACCAAACCCAAGAGAAAACGTGGGCGGGGAGCAGAAGGTGGGGATCACTCCAAGGCCCCATGTGACTGAGAACAAGCAGCAAATGGCGTGGGGGGTGAGTGTGTGTCACCATCAAGGACCTGGGAGATGGGCTACAAGGGTCCCACTGGTGGCTCGTGCCTTGGTCCAGCGACCTCTGGCTTAAGGACTCTCACCTGGATCAGGTCTGTTTCTCTGTAGATTCTGGAATGAAAGAGGCCAAGGGGACGCTGGTGGGACAGCAGGAGCCCGCAGGTCTACACGGGAAGGGGACGACGCGTGCCCAGCCCCCGGGGCTCCTCTGTTACTGGTATTTTTTTGCTGCAGGCACCCAGAGGCCACAGGGACTGAGGCCGAGCATCTCCCCTGGTCCTTCAGGTGTCAGTGCTCCTAAAGCCATCGTTGTTCTGCTCGAGCCGCCCTGGCACCAGACGAGACCCCCAGGAGCAGGTGCAGGTCAGACCTGCCAGCCCGCGTCCCTCCGTCAGTGCCTGGGGTAGCAGGGGCTTCCAATTCTATCAGGAAAAACTGAAGGGCCAAGGGCGGGGCACCTGTGCCATCAGACAGAATTCCTGCCCAGATTAGAACCAGAAGCATCAGTGGCTCTTTCCAAACCTTCTCCCAGTCACAACCCCTCGCGGGGCTGCACCACTGGAACCCACTYGTCCTCCTGAGCTTCGCAGCGTCACCCAGGGTGGTGGAGAACACGGCCCCACATCCCTCTCCGGAACCCACCTCTCTGCTTCCCCCACCGCAGCTGCGTGCTCTGGAGCTGCCAGCCTCACATCAGATCAAAGCCCCGGAGGATGGCATTAGAACTGTCCAGTCCAGTTAGGAGTGAAGGTCATGGATCTAGTGCAGACCATGGAGGCAGAAAGCAGAAAAGCCTCCCACGTGTGCACAGACGCACCCTCCCCCAGGGCCAGCAGGCACGCCCAGGAGGACTGGCTGGCGGCCCCCTCCGAGCCAGGCTGAGGCACCAGCTGTGGGCCTGGGACATCCCCGTCACCCCCTGCCAGCCGCCACCAGCTTGGCCTTCTGCTCCCTCCCATCACTTCCCCGGAGGTCAGGTCTCCAGAGCTTCCCGGAGGGCTGAGCTGCTGTGTCACAGATTGCTTCCCACTCGGGACACCCCTGATGCCCCCTGCGAGACGTAGCTGGCCTGCCCTTCCTGCCACGCCCCCTGGAGGTCAGGCCTCCAGAGCTTCCTGGAGGGCTGAGCTGGCCCATATGGCTGGGGGTGTGTTGCCAGCACGGGCAAGTGCACATGGGGCCCAGCAGCCGGTGGTGACAGCTTCACGCTTGTGCCAGCCAGGCCTTTGGCTTGCTACCGAATTACACGGCAGTACCCAGGGCTGCACCAAGCCTGTGGGGGTGGGGGGAGCCCGGGATCGCCTCGCTGTCACAGCACCAGGCTGGGCTTGCCTCCTCCTGCCTGGTCCCTGCAGATGATGTCAGGACCTGGGGTACTGGAGTCCACATCAGAGGCCCCAGAAAAAGTCACAGGCCTGAGTTCAAGTCTGATGGGCCACCTAGAGCAATGCACAGCTTTCCACGAGGAAAGACCCCCCCCCCCAAGAGGGCTGAGGCTGTAGCTCAGTGGCAGAGTGCTTGCCTAACATGTGTGAGGCACTGGGTTCAAGTCTCAGCACCACATAAAAATAAAGAAAGAAAAATACTGTGTCCATCGACGACTAAAATAAATAAATAAATAAATAAATAAAAGACCCCCAAGATCTCTGCAGATGTGCAAGAGCTGGCAGCTGAAATGGGTCCCATGGACCTGACCAGGTCTTAGACAGTCCCATTTCTCAGCCTCAGAGCTGATCAACTGAGGGTCTAGGCACGAAGGACCAGGCACGAAGGAAAAGGTTCAGGAGCTCGGAAGACAGACCACACGTAAAGCCCCACTGAGAGGAAACTCTGCGGACGTCTGTGCCCAACCTCAGACCCAGCACAGGACCCCTGGAGCAAAAGCCAAAGCTGGTGTCGTGCAGAGTCATAGGGCTGAAAGCACCGCCAGCATGGAAGTCCCAGCCTGCTCCAAGGCTGGCTGCTGGGGACGGACCAAGGGGCACCCAAGCCCTTCAGGACTTGCTTGGCCACCGGCTTGGTTCCAAGATGGCGCCCCTCCTCCAACCCACAAGGTGTTAACTGTCTCAGAGCCATGGGTCTCCCTCTTGGCACTGTCAGGAAGAAGACGCAGGCCACACCCCAGGGGCTCAGAACCCTCGAGGCGTGCTGACCCCTCCTTCCCTCACCCCATTCAATCCACTGGTAAGTTCCACTAACTCTGCCTCTGGGCACATGGCTTCCATCCAGGCCCCTCACTCCTCCCGTCCCCTGGCCTCCTGGTTTCTTCCCTTKCCGCCATTCTGATGCATTCTTCCCAGGACACCCTCACACTTTTTTTTTCTGGGGACTGGGGACTGAACCCAGAGGCCCTTTACCACCGAGCCACACCCACAGCCCTTTTTATTTTATTCTTGATAAGTTTCCCAGGCTGGCCTCCAACCTGAGATCCTCCTGCCTCAGCCTCCTGAGTGGCTGGGATTACAGGAATGCGCCAGGGCATCTGGTTTCCAGCTGTCTTTAAAAAACAAAAAGCAACTCACTACCTCCTTCCTTAAGGCGCCCCTAGGGGACATCCTGTCACCCAAGAATAAAATCCCACCTTCTCCCCTGACACATTATGCCCTACACATCCAGGCCCTGCCCTGTCTACCTCCCGGCCACTTGGCCTTTCCTCCTGGACACGGAACGTAGTGAGTTCCTCCCTCCTTAGGACTTTTAAACTACCTGTTCTCCCTTTCTGGAATATTCTCCTGCCTGCTCTTCAGATGGCTGTCCACTTCCTGTCCTTCATCTCAGCTGTCACCTCAGAGGCCTCCTCTGTGCATCCTGCCTTAAGTGCCCCGGGCACATTCCATTCAGCACCAAGTCTTTGTTCAGTTTTGTGGGTGTGCTGGTTGTCACCTCTGCTACAGGAACTTGGTGAGAGCAGGGGTTTCTTGTCCACTTTGTCTCTGGGGGAGAGAGTGGCAGACACCAGACCCTCTGTGACTGTAGGATAAATGTGACCAGATCTTGCAGAGAATAGCCAGAAATTGGGAGACGCTGAGCCAGGCCTGTGGACCAGACTGAGCCCAGTCTTGGCTCCCTCGCCCATGCTGTGGTGAGGCTGGATGCCTCTGAGACCAGGGGTCACCCTGCCACGAGAACCCCAGGCTGCGGCCAAGCCCGTCACTGGAAACGTACGGGTAAGTGAGGCGGGACTCGGCGACCACACTCCCTCTCGGAGCCCGCAGGGTTCCCAAGCTTCATTATCAAGCCCAAGACAGCCAATGCCAGGATGTGGGAGTCCCACCGGACCTGCTGGGCCCATACCCTGTGCCGGGTGCAAATCCCAGCTGGCACGGCCCCTGGGAGCCAACAGTGAGTGGAAACTTCAGAAAGGGAAAAACTAATGGGCATGTTTTGCCCAGAGAAAGAGGAAAACAAAAAGCCTGCCACCAAGAAGAGAAGAGGCCAACCTGTCCCCTCAGAGGGGCACTCTGGCAGCCTCTGGAGCAGGGCACAGGGTGGGCTGGGAGCCAACCTGAGGCTCCCGCCTTCCCAACAGACATCCTCAGAGAGGGCAGAGATGGCAGGAAGAGCTCCGGGAGATGCCGAGGTAAGATGCTGGCACCGAATGCAAGCAAGACCTCGCAGCCACCAATCCCCCCACGTGGCCTTTTTCAGGTGACAACAGGACAACAGCGGCACACCTTAGGTACAGATGGACCGATTCCTGGAGCCCGATCACATCCTGGATGCCAGGAAGAAGAGTCCCAGCCACATGTCGCTCCACCCCAGCAACCAAAGGCCAAGTTTGCATCTGATTTGCAAACCCTGGGTTGTATTCAGGGCTCCTACTAGTCCCCAAGGAGGCCTGGCCTGAAACGAAGCGGGCCTGCAGCTTTGGGGACCCCTCCAGCAGGCATCCTGGTACCCATCATTGCAGTGCTTCCTCTCTGCAAGTTCAAAGTTCAGAGTGGCAGAGCCAGGAGGAGGGGCAGCACCCATCTGCCCATGGTGTCTGAGGGTGGCTGAGCCGGGGTGCTGACTCCAGCCTGGCACCCAGAAGAGGAGCATCCCCCAGCCAGCCTTGGCCTCTCGGGACGACATCCAGACCCTCCACCTCAGGCTCTACCATAAGTCTGTGTCCATTGGCTTTAGGTTCCCTCAGGATCCCAAGAGAATACTGAATAATCACCAATATTCAATGAGTCACCTGCCGTGTCAAGCCCCACCCCAAGGACTGGCACGTCTGCTACCTCAAGGTAAATATCTGACATTATAGCCCCAGACTCCCCARGGCTGGCCTCAGGTAAAGGGCTATTTCCAAGCCTGGATCAAAGGCACCTTGGTTTTGCCTCTGAGAAGGGGCTGGAGCCACCCAAGAGAGCCCCGGTGGGTCTCCCCAGGCTGAGCCCAGAGCTCAGAGAAGCCTCTGCCCATACAGAAAGGTCCCTGAGATGAAGATCCAGGATGGCATCTGACAGGCGGAGGCCTCACCTGACACCCTGGCCCGCCCACGCCATACCATCCAGTGTCACCCACAGGACCACTGGGAGGACTCTTTAGGGTCAGTTACTCCAACTTGCTATGTTCCGGGTAAGAAAACGGAGATCCAGGCAGGTGCAGTGAGCTGCAGGTGCCTGGCTCCCAGACCAGGGCCCTCTCCTCACCCTCATGTTCTTTTCACTTTCACCTGTGCTGCCTAAGCCACCACCACCCAGGCTGGAACCCACTGAGAWAGGGTGGCCTAGGGCCTACGCATTTCCCACCCTAAGGCGCAACCCCCAAACTGGCCGGCCCACTCTTCCCAGGGGCACCTTGGGAACCAAGAGCAGCTACCTTTGCATCCCAAGAGGCTGGGGTCTGAAGTCCATTCCAACACGCACCACCTGGGAGTTGCAGGACCCCCCTGTGAAGGAGGGGTTGGTGGCCAGGGCAGCTGGAAGGGCCAATGGGATCTTTGTCTTCTGTCACCAAGGTCTGTGTGCCTACCAAAAAGAGAAAGGAAAACAGATTAGGCTACAGTTGGTGCCCACAAACCTGCTGCCCATAGGCGAACAAAGGAGGCAAGGTTCCGACACCTCGGGTGGTAACAAGCCAGCAACGTGTGACTCCTGGACCCTGCCTGCCAATCAGCAGGTGGCACTGCCACTGTGCATGCCACACTTGACCCGGTGACCAGTGTGCCCTTTGCACAATTATTAGCCAATTGCTATGCTAAGAATCAAACAGGGAGAGACAATACTAGGCCAATCAGGTGCCACTCTGGGAACAACAGAGGGGTCACACCCAAGGCTTGGTACCTGGGGTGAAAGGTCCGCCTGAGAATGAATCAAGCCAACACTGGAAACAGATGAGACCCAATGCGACAGAATGGGCCCCTGAGCTCCCTAACCCTGCTGCCCTCCAGATTGCCCTGGGCCAGCTCCCGGCTGCCCCACAACCCCCTGCGGTCATGGAGTCTGCAGACCAGCATTAAGCAGGGCCTGGACAGCTGCGCGGGATGGTCAACTCGGTTTCTTCTGTCTCCCTTTCCCCGCTCCCCTCTGCTGCGGAGCTGGGTCATCTCATAAAAAAGAAAAGAGGGTGTGAGCAAACGCCCTGGAAGGAGGCGGCTGAGATTCATCTGTGATAGGTGCTGGGCCAAAAAAACAAAAAAATAGTGGCCAAAGAAAGTTGGTGCCCTGCTACCGGCAACCTTTGTGTCAATTTAAGCAAATATTGTGGTGTTTCCATGGTGATCCCTGTTTTGAATATCCACTACACTCACTTTTTAAAGGGCTTTTCCTGTTTGCGTTTCAACTTCAAACCTGTAAATATTTTCAGCCTTTTGAGAAAAAACGAGCCCGTGTGCGTGCAAACACAAACACACTCCCGAACCTGGCGCACAACTTCCCGAAGTGGCGGCCCAGCCTCCTGATGTAAGAGCAGGGTGCAGGGAATCCCGGGGCAACTCTGCCCACTCTCACCCCCACCCTGCGTATGAAGCTGGCACTGAAATCCAGGTCCTTTCCTTCCTCCTCTCCTGGGGGACTGTGACATCTGCGACGGTCAACGGCAGTGTGCTCCCCAAGTGTGTGAGCGGGCCTGGCTCTGACTGCAGTGAGTGGCATGGAGTGGGCAGCTGCCTGGCAGGTTCTCCAACTTGGCCCAGCCCTCGGAGGCCCCAGGGGGCCTCCCTGGAGAGCTGAGTGCTCCTCTCCTGCCACCCAAGGCTGGGCCTGAGTGGAAGGGAGTGGGCTCTGCAGGCTTCGGCACAAGCTCCTCCCCTCTGGTGGGGCGATGCCACCCAGGCCAGCTCCCTGGGCCAAGTGTAGAGATGGAAGGTGTCAGCAGTCCAGGGTGGACTGGCCTGGCTCCCACCCCACCCTCAACACCACACAGGGTTAACGGCGGGTTTCCTGGTTTCCATGGAGTCCTGCCAGGCCCCTAATGTGAGTTTCGTGTGATTTGGGGGAAGTGGATTTCCTTTGTTTTCCAGTTTGGGAATATTTTTTTCTTTAAAAAAGAGGAAAAAACACTTTAATGGGAACTTCAGGGCCACTGGGAGACTCAGTCCTCTGGGCTCTGACACTCCTCCTCCGGTTAGTCCAGAATCCGCCGAAGCCCCCGCAGCACACCCACGGATTCACGGCTCTGGGTGGGAGGAAGGGGTGCCTCGGACCACCTACGGCTGCTGCCCCCAGAATGCCTGCCTGCAGGGGTTCCACCCCAGGGTCCTCAGACTCCCCCGAAAGCCAGCGTCTGACATGGGGGGGTGATACTCCCAGCTCCCAGCTTTGCAGAAGGGACACGGTATTTCCCTAGAGAAAAGGTCAAGGGAAACACGCTACCTCCCAACTTCTGGAAGGAGCTGGTGGGCCAGAGTCTGACCCCACACCCAAGCTGCACTCCCAGTGTCTCACGCCTGGTTCTGAAGGGGGGTCTAGTGACAGGGTAAGAGGGGTCTCCAGACCCTAGGGAGCCTAGTCTGACCTCTTCCTGCCAACAGAGGAGCCTGAGGGGCAGAGGGAGCTTCAATCAAATAAAGGGTGTGGCCAGGCCTCTTCCTGCTCCTCCTCAGTCTTCCCCATTCCTGCCATCCCCCAGCCCAGCCAGGGTGTGGCCTTACTCTGGGACTGTCCTCAAACCAAGTGGCCTGACCCATTTACCAAACCAGGGCACAGGCCTTGGGGCCTTCCATGCACTGGGGTCCTCCCACGACGCAGGCCCCAGGGGCCATGGCAGCAGCACAAATCCCGGTCAGTAGGTAAGAGCCCAAAGTGCGGATCTCCGACCAGCAGCCCCGGGGGGAAGGGGCGAGAAGCCAGATACAGTTACAGAAATAACCCTGGGCCAAGGATCAGAGATGTGGGTCTGAGGCCCAGTTCTGCCACTTAACCCAGTGTGGGCCCTTCGCCGAGCCGGCTAATCTCCCGGGGCTCAGTTTCCTCACCAGTCACCCAGAAGGAGAAGGAAGGAAGGAAGGAAGGAAGGAAGGAGAGGAGGTCCCCCAGGTTGTGGGGAGACCTGGCAAAGGCTGAGAGGGGCGCTGCCACCACCTTCTCCTTGCACGCTTCAGGGAATCTGGCGCTCGAGAGGCCACGTGCCCCTCGCCTCTGCTCCTGGCACATCCGTAGTCCCTGCGTTTGAATCCGTGCTGGATTGAAATCATTTGTTCATGGGTCTGTCTCGCCTTGGGTTCCTAACACCTCGAGGGCAGAGACCAGGTCTTAATGACCTTTGTGTCGGCACTTAGCAGAACAGCTGGCCCACAGTGGGTGGCCTACGTGCTGGTGGGACTGAAGGAGTCCTTGATCTCACGTCAGAATCAGAAGGGCCTAGTGTGGCTTCTCCCACTTCCCCAACAGAAAGTTTCACGGGCAGTTTCCACTCTCCATTCTGTCGAGCTCCCTAGGCCCCAACCTGCGATTTGGCTCCTCTGCCTCCCTCCTGATCCCTGTGAATTCATGACTTTCAGGCCTGAGGGGACCACTTGGCTACTTGATCCTCCTCCAATCAATTCCAAGAAGAACTGACTGAGCACCTACTATGCGCCTGGGAGCATGCCGGGAATAGAGAGCACTGGATGAGTGGCTCTCCCCTCTGCCAATCGGCCTGCATGAGAACTAATATAAACTAACCAGATGCCAAGCCCCATGCCAAGTGCTCTACACGCATGATCCTGCCCAGTCTTTATAACACGAAGGCAGGAGCAATTACGGTCCCCAGGGAGAGATCAGGGATAGCAGGTACAGAGATACGGAGCAACTGGGCAAAGGTCACACCACTCACAGGAGCTGAAGCCAGGCCTGGGCTTGGAGAATGCGGGCCAAACTCACCTGCTCCTCCTCCTTCTCTCCCCATGATCTTAGCACCCACTCCACCTGATGCCACTTCCCTTCCTGAATCTCAGTTCCCACAGCCTTGAACAGCTTTCCAGCAAGTCCCCCAGGGCCTCCAGAGTGCGCTCAGTTGGACACCACAGCCAAAGACAAGGGCCGCGCTCAGCCGCTCTGGCTGGGCTGAACCTGGGGACGGACAGGCCCAGGGCCGCACACCTGGTGTGCAGGCCAAACCCTGAGCCTGCCTGGGAAATGGGGTCTCAGCTGTGGGCATGCTCATCGCTGCCTGTCATCTGATGGGATGGGGACGAGGAAGCCATCAGGAGAGGGCCACTCCAAGGAGGCTCTAGCGGGTAGGACAACTTTCATTTCATCTCTACAGACAAGGGGGCAGGTGGAAGGGTGTTTTGGTGGAGGGAGGCAGAAGTCTCTGCTGCCTGCCCACATCGGGACCTCCCACCACCAACACCTGCTTAAGAGACCCTGGGTTGAGGAGCAGGGCCACAGGAGCCCTTGACTTTCACCTGGCGAATGTGCACAGGTAGGGAGGCCCCGCCACCTCTTCAAAGGAGAGGAGACACCAGGAGATGGCGGAGAAAGATCTACATTCGTGAGGACAGACAGCAGAAGATCAGCTGGGGTGGGGAAGGGACGGCGCTAATGAGCAGATTTCACAAACCACCCAGAGTGAAAACAAAAACACAGACGTGTGCGTTGCCCAACTTCGGGGCCGTATGGAAAAGGAGGAAAAAAAAAAAAACAATAAAAAAATCCACATCTTAATACAAAAATCCTACACGATGTGTTGCGGCATGAAAATGTTTTTCACCGCATTTTTCAACTGTGATCTCACACAGCCTACGACGGGTACGCCCAGCGCAGGAGGCACCTGATGATACACATGGCAAACACACACGCTCCACCAAAACAAGGGCAGGCCGCGTTCCCATCGGCCCAGGCCGGCACCTCACGGCTTCCGGCGGCCTCTGGAGATGGCTGCATGACTCCGGGAAGGGCCCCCTTAGAAGGGGAGATAGACGGTGCCCAGGGAAGGCACCAGAACCCTGCAGGAGTGACTCCCAGCCAGCTGGTGCCGTGGCCTTTCCGCACCCTGGGTGCTGTCATGCTGCCCACGGGGGACAGGGAGGGGACCCGCAGCCCAGGGGCCCTTCCTAAGTGTCACTGGCCCCACAGTAACTATCTGTCTCCATTTTCTTCCACCCCCACCCGCCTTTTAATTGTTGGATGAGTTTACAGAGCCATGTGCCAAAAACAATCAACTCCAGGGAGCAGAGTTAGACAAAAAAGGGCGTGTCGCCAGAGGGAGACGGGTATCCATGGAAACCACCACCTTCACAGAGCCTAGGTGAAGCCGGGGTGAGGTGGACAGTGCAGGGTGGGGGCCACACTCCACCCAGAACAGGGCCCTGGAAAAGGTTGGGACTGCTGAGCAGCTGACCACCTGGAGGGCGGGGCTGCCTGAATGTGCCCCCCTGCGCCTGCACACCCACAACACACAGGAACACACACAGGAACACATGTATGCACATCTGCCACCCTCCAGATCCCTGATCGGCACGCCCAGGGCGTGAAGGGTACGAGCTCCAGGTAGGAACCCGGGCTCCGCCACTCCTCAGCTGGGTGACCCTGGGTGAGTTCCTGTAGCCTGTCTGTACCTCAGTTTCCCCATCAGCAAAATGGAGACGGGATCGCTCCTCCTGAGTACCGTCGTGAGGATTAAATGATTTATTACGTGTAGCATGCTGAGAAAAGTACCTAGCACATCGTACGTGCCATAAAGCATTTGATAAACCCAATAAATCAAAAAGCCTAAATGAAGTAGGGGGAGGTTTCTAGATTCTGCCATAAGAGAGGAGGAAAATAATAACCATTCATGTTTATTAAGCACTGTGTACTCAGGATTTTAATACATCGGTACATATAATCATCACAAGAACTCAGTGAGGTAGATGATTATCTCAACTGGAGAGTTGAGAAACAAAGACTCAGAGAGGGACACGTCCCACCCAAGGTCACACGCTGGGAAGTGATTCGAACTCAGAACCTTCTGACACCTCATTGCCACACTGCCTGGCAAGGGGAGGAGAAGTAAGAGGGGTGTAGAGCGAGGCAGGAGGGGGGGCTTTTGGGGGGGGCTCTTTCCAACTGGATGCACAGCTGTGAACCCCAACTTGCTCTTCCCAAGATGACGAGGGAAACTAGAAATCCTCCGTGACGTGACTGCAGGAGCTGGGAAAAGATGAGGTGGCTAATGGGCTCAGGCGTTCCTACCCAGGTCCTGACCCTAGGAGACCAATGCTGCCTTCCGAACCTTCCCTCCGCCCAGGCAGCACCTCCAGATTAGGTTGTCCTTGGAGGGAAAACAGCAGGACTTGGGGGCCCAGCTCCCAGAAATGGAGCCTCAAAGCCTGGGAAAGGTTTAGGTCAGAGCCTTGTAAACAGCCCGATTTTCCACCTTCCCAGAG